ATTAAAAAGAAATAATATTAAAAAGATATTAAAATTAAAAAATTATCTTTAAAATAAACACTTTGCGAGGAAATACATATATTGATATCTAAAAATGTGTTTAAATAATTTTTAATAATAAAATAAATTTGTAATTGAAAAAATTAAATGAAATATTATACATATACTTATTTATAAATATTGTGATTTTTTTAAATCGACTTGAGATTATAATTATTGCATTTTTCAAAAATATATTTACTAGTAATTCAATACACATTAAGCATCTTTAGTTCACAAGTAATTTAATTATCGTTAAATGTAATCCTAATAGTCGCATAATAAAGTAATGTAAAATCTCTCATACTATTTCAAAATCGAAAACTGGCAATAATATATTATAAAATACTTTTAGTTAAATTTACAACGTTTAGGCTGTCATTGCAGCCCTTTTCAGTAATCTATGAACAATTATATACATATAAATATACTCTTAATGCGCTTAATCATACCAATAATTATAAATTTACAAAATATAATGTTTACATACCAGATTAATACAATAAATCAAATTTACAGCAAACCCCCGACAAAATTAACATTGTTTTGATGAACATGTATAACTGACAGATATGAGCACGAAGAAAATAGATGTTGACTGTATAAAGAAACTTAGTCACTAACCACATTGAGAAATAGAAAACCAGAGTACTGTGTTCTTTCGCATTTTTTAAAACGTCAATACAAAGTCAAATAAATAAATAAATAAATAAATAATATTAACATATGACAATATAATATTTAATAGCTTCAAGAACGCGATCATAAATCCCCTGAAATTCTCCGTATCTTTTTGTAAATTAATGCTCTTTCTTTGGTTTTTTATATAGAACTTTCTGCTATTTCTCTTTTTCTTGTTTGTTTTTCTTGATGCAGAATCACAGGAGAATCCCAGCGGAACTCATGATTTTTTGCAAGTCCGTCATCCATCATTTTTAAATAATTATTGCCAGTCTGGTCGACTTTAAAACAAGGAGAGATTTTTTCATTAATTATTGTTAATTAAAGTTAAACTGTTTTCGAAATATATACATACTTAAACGGCTGTCAAGAGATAGTACAACTATTGTAGCACTAATGCAAACAGAAAACAGTAATTTCTGATAAAATGAACAAAATCCACCTTCTAAAGGTGACCACTTGAAATATGGCATGAAAAATCTGTGCGCCCACAATTGAAATGTGACAGCCATAGTTAGAGGCAATATTAAAACCAATACATGCGACCAGAACTGTAAAATATAAATTATAATGAATCGACATGTGTAATTGATTCCAAAGTAAATTTTGTAATTTTCATACAAAATAATATATATATTATATATATATATATATATATGGTATATATATATGTATAATAACATACCGGCGATATTTCCCGTTTTATTCCTCTATGATCGTGAAGTATTGCACCCGCGGTTATACCAACAAGATATGCAATAAAGCGCATATATGTCTGAATATAATTTGACGCAAAATACGGTGCATCGCTGAAGTGCTGCACACTAAAAGAATTAATTATAATTTAACAAAATAGACATTGTATCTAATAAAAAATACATAACTTTTAATAAATAAATATAAATATATATTTTTTTTTAATTTATAACGCTATAAATATATACGCTATTTCACAAAATACGCTATATATGTAAATAATAAATGCATAACTTACCGCAGCGTAAATAGAAAAACAGGCGGCACACCGTATGAATATGTTATGAAAAACGGTATAGCACAGCTGATGATTGTTAGCACTCCGAGAAAAGAATATCCAATTTTACGGGGCATACACCAAAATGCATAAATTACAAATTGGCTAAGAATAAATAACTGGAAATCGACGGATAAATACCACGTTTGAAACATACACTAAAACAAAAAAAAGGACAGATAATGTTCACAAATTCTTTTTATCCATATGTTTAATTAATTTAAATTAAAAATCTTACCATTTCTGTTGGTTTTACATAATTGTTAATATACAATAGATTTGCCCACCAATTAGTGGAACATTCATTGCCCTCCTGTATGATTTCTTGCTTCCAAAATGGTCCCGAACCAAGAAGCGGTAAGATCCAAGCGTGGAAGAAGATTATTATGGCATAGGATGGTGTTAATCTATTAATTTATAAATCAAAATATGTTTTTTAATAGAATCACGCAATGATATGGTTCTTTAGATCTAAAGAGTTAAATTTACGATCTTAATATTTATAATTATTATTTAATTATTAATATTAATATATGTTTAATATTTTATTATTAACTTAATTTTTACCTAAAATATCTCGTTATAATATCACTGAAAAAATTGAGTTGCTTCCTTCGATCTAGATCCGCTAACATATGATATGTGACTAAAAAAGCGCCCAAAGCAAAAAACACGTCTATCACAACTTTTCCATTTAAATAAAAGACTATTACCGGTAGAGAAAATAACTACAAAAAAGATATTATTAAATTTACAAATTAAACTTTAGTAAAAAAATTAATCTATAAAATGTTTTAATAATTAAAAGCTATAGGATTTTTCAAATAATTGAAAGCGAATGAGATATTTACAAATAAAGTAAATCGAAAATATAAATATATTTTTGTTCAGATCAATCAAAATTAAACGCTAGTGGTGAAAATAAACTTGGCAAAATTGATTTCGATGTAACCAGCAATTTTATTCAATACTTTCACGACGTTTCGACCATTTGGTTGTGGTCCTTATCAAGTGAGAAACGTCGTGAAAGTATTGAATAAAATTGCTAGTTACGTCGAAATCAATTTTGCCAAGTATATTTTTGTTCAATAAAGCAAAATATAATTAATGTTATAATAAAACATAATTTTTAATATTATTATATTATAAATATTTAAATATTATATAATCATGAACACAAAATTTGTGTACAAAAAATTCTTTTCGATGAATTTTGAACGAGGACGATCTCGAAAATAATATTATTTATATATTATAATTATCATAATTTTTCTTCGTGCACACTTTAGCCTTTTATTTAATATTGATAAAATAAAACGACATACTATAAATATAAAACATTAAAATATTATAGAAGTAACTATTATTGCTTCTATTATATTATATCCATTAAAAAATGCAATACTTACTCTTTCAAAATCTATGACATTAACTGTCGGATTAGCATAATATTGTATTACACGATGTCCATTTAGTACAATTAATGACAAGATAAATCGTATAAAATGTATGCTGTCGAGCCCCGGATTTGAGTAATTTACTTGCAGAACACTTTTAAAATTTCTTCGAAGTGAGAAACAAAGTAATGCACTTCGGAAAGTTGATGTACCTCCGCTACTTAATTCATTTTCATACCAAGTACTGACGAGTATCACAATCACCAAGCTCAGTAGTATAATACTGGAAAAGATTATAGAGATATATCACAACACATATAGTATTATATTTTAAAATGTATAACTTAGCAAAATTAAATTTATATATAAATTATTAATTTTTTCACTTTATATTTTTATAATACGTATAATAAATTATATTTTTTTAGTTTTATTATATGCAAAAATATATTATTATACAATATACTTTTAGTACGAAAGATATACATGTGATAAAATATTTTTAAAAAAAGACCAAGAAAAACAAAAAATAAGAACTTATGAAAAAATGTAAATATTATTTTTAATCGTTTTTAGCAAAAATAATATATATTCGTATATGACAAATCTCTTAAACACGCATTTTTAATATTACTCACCAATATATTGTTGCAGCGAGAGTAAATTTAGGCGCTTCATCAAGCGTTTGGCAAAAATTTATCTGAACGCCAGTCTCTATATTAATATTATTATTTGCACCGATCTTTTGTAGAGGCCTTTTTAAAGCTGTTTCTATATCTTCTGCACTACATGTTGATGGTACACACAGAGCTAATTGCACCAAATAGCGACGAATACGGTGAGTATTTCCTCGTTCCTGTTTACAAATCACCATTACTACAGATAAAACTAATTACTTAATAATAAAAAATAGTATTTAATATATTATTACGCAAATTTTTACAACGGAAAAAATATTTTACTAATAATATATTTAAATAATTTACTGATATAAACTGATAGTATATTTAAATAATACATAGTATTATAGCATATATAAATAATTTATATATAGCATAAAGAATAATAGAGAAAGAGAAAAAAGAAAAAAGTAAAATCAGAAAAGAATATGTTTTTAAAAAGATTATGTAAGCACAAATAAAAAAAAATCTTTTCTAATCTTTTTTCTTTTTATGTCTTATTTTTTCCTATTGGTCTTTATTAACAAAATATTGTAAACAAAAGAACTCCCGGCAATCTATTATGTATATAATTAATATTACCTCTACTGCTTCCCAAAAAGACTCATTTGGATTATATTCCATGGTTTGTTTATGAGAAATCGATTCATCTTTCCTTTTATATTCAAGATCGACTAAACAATATCTACCAGCAACTGCATTTTCAACTTCCCCGGCATCAGTTTGTAAATAGTAACATTCATCAAAATTACCCAAATGTTTTGTATGACCGTATAATACACCATCAGGATATTTCGATGAAGAATCGAACACTAAAATAAAATTTTATATGATAAAGTCTATATGCGTGTGCCTATTTTATATGCAGATCATTTATTCCTGTTTTGATATAGATAATATTTAAAAAAAAGTTTAGTAAAAACTAATAAAAAATCAATTATTCAAATAGCAAAACAATTTTTGTTAAGTTTTATAACTCTTTTTTATAATAAAAAAAAATATAATTCCTCGAATAAAATTTTACTGCTATGTATATCAAAAGTTAAACAAAATATTTTGTGTACTTCTTCGAAAAATTCTAACTTAAAAATATTAAAATAATAAAGCACTTCATCAGGTCTATGAACGATCCAAAATAAAGATTGTATATAATTATGCATAAAGATACGCATATAAATGTACGCATAACAATCACTCTATTAATTTTTATAGTTTATTTAATATTTTTATTATTCAACTAATGTTTTGTTTTTTAGTTATATAGTTATGTGTGTAATACTTTTTAGCTATAGACAATAGCAATCATCATAAATTAAAATTAGATGTAAATTTCTCATATGTATATATATATATATATAATTCAATTATTTTTTTATAAAAAATTTGAAATTTTTAATTCTGATTCTATATCTTGTAGATATAATTTTTGTTTTATTTTTATATTTTATTTTGTTCTTTAATTCGTTATATGTGGATATACTAATTTTTTAGTTGTTATCACGTAACCGCATATTTTCAATAACAATCATCATAAATTAAAATGGAATGTAAATTTCTAACATGTCCGCTCATACATCTTGATTATTACTTAAAATTTAAGACTAAAACCACCTGATTGTGCTTGTGTGGGTACACGCGAGAATAATAATGCCTTCCGCATTCTCAGAGACTTTATGACATGCGGTTTATAGATTCCTTCCGTTTACAGATTTTTTTACAAGATGAAGTAGTTGAACTATAATGTTTATAAGCAATAACATATGTTTCTTAAATATTACAAAAAATTTTGATTGCATTTATGGGAAGACTTCAATGCTCTTAATTGTATAATTCTGGATCTATATAAAAAAATATTCAAAAAAAGAAAAACAGAATAATATATATGTTTAATATAAAATAAAAAATATATATATGTTCAAATTAATCAATATTAACCTCGTCTTTAAATAATAAAATTGCTCACAAATTATATTCACAATAATTAATCTATAAATTATATTCACATAAATTATACCATATAAAAATTTGTCAAAATATATATAAATCTCTGTAATATATATATAATAATTGCTCACAATGAAATAAGGCAATAAGAAAACAAATTAAAAAAGTAAGCAATAATAAAATAATTTATAATTAAAATATTTTTTTTTTTAACAGATATTCGAGGTACAAAAATGTACAATACAAATTATTTATATTAACTAAATATAAAACTAATATCTCTTTTTTCGTATATTTAAATTAAAGAAGAATATATATATTTCGATATACTTCCTTTTGAAATAATAATCATCTATAAACCCAAGTTTTTAAATAATTTTGTAATTTTCGATAGTTTACTTACTTTGCACAGCCCACAAAGTACCATTTTGCAATTCATTTAAAAATCGTCGTGCATCTTCTTTACATTTTCCATCTGGCAAATCGTCGGATTGAGCGAAGATGATAGGTAACAACGGTAGATTGATGGGATTTAACGATTCCGTACTTGCAAAACATTGTTCGTTATTAAAACCACCGGTATTTAAAATATTGCTTAGGTCTGCCTGATCGAAGGAATTTTTTTCATTAAATGTCCAGTGTCCTGATGCGGCATGGCTTTGGTCGGCAAAGCTGCTTGATACTCTTAACAATAATGTGCTAACGGAAATTAGCACAGTTTGTTTGAACATTATCAAACAAAATGATTGTCTACGATGAACGAACAGCGATAAACTAAAGCTTGTAGCTTTGTTATGTCTACTTATTTATTCACCTTACCCCACTACATCATAATAGAAGGTTTGTTCGCGTCGCATGCCCCAACTTGCTTTTTTTACTTCAATGCGCTCGTATTGGTCCAATTCGAAGAGCGCACCAATACGAGCGCATTGGAGTAAGAAGGAGCATGTTGGGGCATGCGACGCGAACAAACCTAGAGAGTCAGAAGCTATACCTATATATACAGGGTGTCCGGTAACTAACGGACCAATGATTAAGAGCGGATTCTCTGGCTAATTTGGAGACGATTTTTCCTTAGCAAAAATATTGAGAAGTCAATAATTTTCGAGTTATAAGCGATTGAAAAAAATGGGTCTTTTGAAAACTAAACGTTTTGGAGTTAAAAGTCTAACATAATTACATTCTTCAGTTAATTTCAGGTAGAGTTTACTATAATAAAATTTTAATTTGAGGCTTAGTTATAAAGATACATAATGACAAATATTGGAAAGTTGTAAAAAATGATGACCTTTTTCGACATTTTCGCTGAGGAAAAATCCCCAAATTCCCAAATTGACCAAAGAATCCATTTCTAATCGTTGGTCCGTTAGTTACCGGACACCCTGTATGTATATATATATATATATATATATATATTCTCGCTTTCATAAAACATATCTCTCGATAAAACTATTAAAAAATAAATAAATTATTTCTTTCAGATGATAAGATTAATTGCCATTCATATCGTAATTGCACGACAATGATTTTATTTCGCATCTTTCAAAATAATCATTCATACAAAAATGGAATTATATATTTTATTCAATATTATTATTAAAATTTGTGACCGCTTTTTAAAAAATTAATATACATATATAAAAGACCATAAGAGCTAATTTAGTTCTTTTATTAATATTTATTTGTGGGAAAAAGATTTATAACATATAAAATATTAAACAGAAAGAAATTCGAACGTTTCGGTTGCTTTTTCAACCTTCTTCAGCGCATCATTTAAAATTAAAGATGAATAGAAATAAACTATATCAATTATTCATAATTACTGTCAATATAATAAAATTATACAGAAACACAGTTATTCGCATAAAACTTCGTCAAGCTGTTTTTTAATTAACGAAATCAACGCATTAATTTTAAACCTGAGCATTTTTTTATATATTCTATTCCTCGTCATTCTATATAGAAGTTTTCTTATATTGACAGTAATTATGAATAATTGATATAGTTTATTTCTATTCATCTTTAATTTTAAATGATGCGCTGAAGAAGGTTGAAAAAGCAACCAAAACGTTCGAATTTCTTTTTGTTTAATATTTTATGTTATAAATCTTTTTCCCACACACAAATAAATATTAATGAAAGAACTAAATAAATTAGCTCTTATGGCCTTTTATATGTATATTACTCTATTATTATGTTAAAGAAAGAGAGAGCGAGAGAGAAAGTGAGCTAAAAAATTACTTATATTCTCTCTTTTAAGAACATATTTTTCAATAACCTATAATAATAAATGTGATATATTTACATTATAAATTGTAAAAAACATTAATTTAGCATCTTTTAATAGTGTATCTTACAAAATCTTATACAGGGTAGTCAAAAAGTATCGGACCCCCCCAATATTTCCGTTCCCTTGCATTTTACAAGAAAATGTTTCAGACAAAAGTTGTAGGGTTTAAAAAGATCTATTTACTGATCTTATCAGTTTGACCTTGGATGGCGTCGCCAAGGTCAGATCGAAATTACATTAACTTTTTTAAACGGAACACCTAACTTTTTATTGCATATTCTTGTAGCTTATCTCGAGACCTTTCCAAAACACTACAAGAAAGTTTATTTTCGTTGAGTACTTTCCGAGTTGTGAGGCTTGAAAGCTACAGTGTACTGTAGTGTGGGTCCAGCCAGTTAAGGCAAGAGTGGCGTGTGGGTCCGGCCAGCTGGACCCACACGCCACTCTTGCCTTAACTGGCTGGACACACGCCACACTTGCCTTAACTGGCCGGACCCACACGCCACTCTTGCCTTAATTGGCTGGACCCACACTACAGTACACTGTAGCTTTCAAGCCTCACAACTCGGAAAGTACTCAACGAAAATAAACTTTCTTGTAGTGTTTTGGAAAGGTCTCGAGATAAGCTACAAGAATATGCAATAAAAAGTTAGGTGTTCCGTTTAAAAAGTTAATGTAATTTCGATCTGACCTTGGCGACGCCATCCAAGGTCAAACTAATAAGATCAGTAAATAGATCTTTTTAAACCCTACAACTTTTGTCTGAAACATTTTCTTGTAAAATGCAAGGGAACGGAAATATTGGGGGGGTCCGATACTTTTTGACTACCCTGTATGTACGTGTGTGTTCTCATTGTTTATAACCTTTTAAAAAATCACCAAACTTATTAGCGAAAAATATATTTCCGCAAAAGGTAAAAAGAAATTAAAAGATGAAAATAACTTACGGCTTTAAACTTCACGATTAAATAAAATTAGTAATTAGCTCTGTTAAATTAATAATTGTAAACAAAGAAGGGCTATAAGAGCTATTAAACATAACCAAGTTGTCAGTTGATATTAAAAAACTTCATTTGAACGGAACGAGAAATAAATAAGAAGTGATCATTTATTCATATTTAAACAAAATAATATATACATAAGAAATACACATTAAAGCGAACGTTTCGGCTGACATTTCGAGCCTTCCTCAGCGCAATATAAATGAGACAAAAAACTGACTTTTTATTATCTTGACATCGTTAATTGCCGTCTTTAATGTTCAATATTACATTTTAATTTATATAATATTTATATTGCGCTGAGGAAGGCTCGAAATGTCAGCCGAAACGTTCGCTTTAATGTGTATTTCTTATGTATATATTATTTCGTTTAAATGTGAATAAATGATCACTTCTTATTTATTTCTCGTTCCGTTCAAATGAAGTTTTTTAATATCAACTGACAACTTGGTTATGTTTAATAGCTCTTATAGCCCTTCTTTGTTTACAATTATTCACGATTAAACTTATAACATCAGGAAAACACTTGTCGAAGAAGATGCAAGTATTTCTTCTTCTCGACTCCTTCCTCCTCGTCCTTCCGCAATATCGAGAAATTTGCCGTAGAATTCAAATCCGGCAGTTTATAATATTAAAGCCTCGTTTGGCTTGACGCTGTCAATTCTGAAAGCATTTGATCGACCAATGAGAATAAAAAATCCTTTGCCCTGATTGGTCAGGTCGGCCCATCGGGATTGGTCAATTCACTCACAGCGAGATGAACCTGGCTTAAAAAAAAACATGACGTTCGATTATCCCCTCCATCCTTCGCTGACAACTTCACTTCGGAGTTGTTGTATCCTGTTGAAATTGTGGAGTCATTGAATTTTACGTGACGGTGAACAAGTTAAAATTTTGTAATCAAGATACAGCGATGGCTCTTTTAACAGAAAATGCAAAAGGAGGTTTGCCTGATTATGAAGTACAGGGAGCAAGAAAAGTGAGCTTCAGTCCTTATTCTGACAATGGAGGGTGAGTCAAATTAAAGTAACCTTTATTTTTCTGATTTTCATTATTATATTACCGAGCAATTACTATTAATTGATATTTTTAATTTTCATTTTCTTATATTTCTTCGTACGAAGTGCATTGTACTCTTGAAAAATATTATGAAGAATGTAATTTGATCCTTAGGAGTGTAGTGGCTCTCGCAGGAGATGATTTCTGTGTTATAGCTGCTGATACACGTCTTAGTACAGGATTTTCGATTTACACTCGAGAACAGGACAAATTATTCTCTTTGTCAAACACCACCATTTTAGGATGCTCTGGTTGCTGGTGCGATACTTTGACTTTAACTCGTCTCTTGTCCGCTCGTATGCAGGTACAAACTTGTTTAAGACTAAATATAAATCAATTATATAGATATATGATCATAAATTATACAGATACAATATTATATAATCCTTGCTTTAGATGTATCAACATGAACATCAAAAAGAAATGACAACTCCAGCAGCAGCACAGATGCTCTCCATAATGCTGTATCATAAAAGATTCTTTCCTTATTACGTCAGTAATATACTTGCTGGATTAGATGAGAATGGGAAGGGATGCATATATAGTTATGATCCAATTGGACATTGTGAAAAAACTACATATAGAGCCGGTGGTTCAGCAGGTGCACTTTTGCAACCACTTCTCGATAATCAGGTATATGTTTTAATGTGACATAAATATAATTAATCTTTACAAAATACAGTATAAAAGGCTAGTGAGAGACAGGCATAAATATTAGATAAAATTAAATTTTTAAATTTCTCTATACTTATTTTGAACATTTTAGTCCTATAGACCATGCTCGATATATTAAAGGAGGGAAGAGAAAAACAGGAACAAACGTCCTGACCTCCGCAATGAACAAATAATATTGAAAAGGATATTATATTTGTTTATTGTGGTGATCAGGACATTCATCTCTATCTCTGATATACTAAGAATGGTTCAAAGAAAGGATCAGTGTTCAAAATAAATGTAGAGAAATTTAAAAATAATTTTATTGCATTTAATCTGTTCCTGAGGATTTTGTCCTTTTATATCATTTTATATTAATGCCTTTTTGATCTATTAATTTATCCTTTTTAAAATCATATTTAAAAATATTTGTGTACATGTACAAAAATATTTGAGAAATTAGCAAGATAGTATGGTTTTTATTCTTTAGATTGGATACAAGAATCAAGAAGGAATTACTCCGGCAGTTTTGACTCAAGAAAAAGCTGTATCAATCTTGAAAGATGTTTTCACTTCTGCAGCTGAGAGAGATATTTATACAGGTGATGGAATAACTATTAAAATTATTACCAAGGATGGAATTAAAGATACTTATTTTGCCTTGAGGAGAGATTAAATAGAAAATAAAAAAAGCATTTATTTCTTATGTATAGCACAAATAAAGTTATTACAGTATCTGTGAACACTTTTTTTATAAACTTTTCTTTTAATTCTTCAAAAGATATAAAATATGCTTGGTGAAATAAAGAGAAAAAGAGGAAAGATCTAATTATTAAATGATTAAAAAAGATCAATGTAAAAAAACATCAAAGTGTAAAAGATACAAATACACAGTGTTATATATACTTGATAGGCGTTCTTTATATATATTTATACACAATTATTTCTACTTTATATATATAGATATCTTAGCAGTACTTATTTTATAGATTTTTAATAAATCTTGCATTACAAACTTCTCTGTACTATGGTGCTCAATGAACAAATATCGGGTCCTTTATCATAAATTAAGAATTTTATTCTGCCACTCAAACATATTTCGCTCTTATTTCATAATTATTTCATAATTAGTATTAGTAATGTACACTTGAAAATCTATAATATATAAACGATTATGCGAAGGTAACTCAATAAGCCTTGTTTAATGTTACACTATATTACTGTATACATTGTATGTTACTTCGCATACATGTGATATCCTAAAATATCTTTCTTTTACCATAAAGGCAAGTTAATTATAACCCATTTTTATCATTCAATATCAATGTAACCAAAGGAAAGAAGAGTAGGGGTTTGTTTGTTGCATTCCATTCTACCATCTTTCATCATAGTTCTTTCTTGGGAAGTATGTAAGGATCGAAAGTAGAGTTTCCCCCCGAGATTCACTTCTTCGTCCCGGGGGTCGTTAACGGTTTTCCACGATCTTTGCCGCGCAATTTAATTCCAAGTACTCGTTCGATTTTGCCAATAACCATTTGATTTGGTATTCCACGTCCTGCTTCGTAGTCATTAATCACTTGTGCCTTTTCATTTACTTTCTGCAAAAAAAGATATGAAAATTATAAATAATAATCATAAATGTTTGTATTTTTTAATTCTCTAATAATAAATAATCCCGTTATTAAGACACAAATACTTTACTGTAGCTAAATCCTTTTGGGATAATCCTTTGTTTTGCCGTCCTTGTTGGATGAGTTTACCAAGTTCAAGTGGAATTTGATCATGTTTTAACTCTTCTGTCTCACGATCTAATTTAGCTGTGTTTTTCGTAGTTACATGCTGTCTATTAGCACCGCCTCCCCCTACTCATATAGGTTAATCAAAATTGTTATATTTTTAATCAAATTAAGAAAAATTAAAAGATAAAATTAATCTTACTCTACTAAGTAAAATTTCAAGTATATTATTCTATTTCTAATATCGGAATGTGATAAAATATTTCATTTAAAGTTTGATGCCTTCTGTTTTTCTATCTTCCAGTTATTTACATAAAATAATATCAACTTGTTCTCTGAAATAAATACTGCATGCTTGTGTATATTTATTTGTACATAAAACATGTCAATTTTAAATTAACTTGAGTTTTTTTATCTATATGACATAATGTGTAGATGATGACATGACAATAATTCTGATGACATACTTATTTAATAATAAAAAAAAAAAAAAAAGAAACAAGAAAGGAAAATCCAATAAAATATAAATATTCATTAAAAAAAAGAGAGAAATAACACACATAACAAATAATCATTTCTTTTTGCAAAATCCTATTGTATTCTTAAAAAGCTGTGATGTAACTTGAAATTGCTGTTATCATTGATAAGAATATATACGCAATAATACGCAAAACTATCCATGTGGCGAGCAAAGCGTTTTGTTTACATCGCAACGAATAATTTCGGCGAAACGGCCGGGAAGAGAAAATCCAATCTCGTACTCACATTTCGCTTGCGTCTCGACGGTGAAACCCTGTCGTCGCGCATCGTTCACCGCCTGTAAATAATAAACGCGTGGTTAAGAGATTGCGTGCGATAATACGACGCAAATACGGAGAGCCGGGGGAGAAGACTCGCGATTTTTTCGCGCTTCGTATTTTATATTGTGTACCTTCTCGGTTTTGAGCGTGGACGATTTAGGAGCGCGTTTCCGCAACGTGATAGGCGCGGTGTCCCAATCTGACATGTTGTAAAAACGTGGTCGGCGTGTTTATCGCGTTAAAACTGTTTCTCCCAAGTATATAGCTACGATCACCGCTTGGCTCTGTAGTCTACGCTCTCCGGCTGTGCTCGGTCGTGTTGCGCTCTTTCCAGCAGGTTCCTCTTCCTCTCCGCCTCGCGCGGACGTTCCGAGTTCCGAAAGTCATGCAACGCGGCCGCTCGATCGACCGGCGCGAAGCCGCAATTTCGCGAACATCAGATCGCGCCCTGAAGGAGATCAGTTCCGCACGTACTTTCGTCCAATTTTTACGTTCACCTTCACGTTCACGTCGCTATTTTCCATGTGATATGCGTGCCGCTCGATAGATCGTTTTCCGTGGAATCTTCGAGCTCTGCCGACCGCGAAATTTGAGATTAAAATTCTGACATTTACCCTGATAATCGTGTAAGAAAAATAATATCAAACTCATTTCAACCCTAGAACGTCCAACTGTTTGAAATTCCTCTATACAATAGAGAACGAATTGTTGCAATTTACTCCGATCTTGAATTTCATTATATTTATACATAAATTGACGTAAAAATTAAATTCTAGTGAACTTACGAATAAAAGTAGAGATAACGAATGAAATTCTAGCGAATGAATAAAAGTAGAGAACGAATTTATCATTCATCAATTTAAGGTTTATGATAATCTTGACATTTTCCAATTTTGACGTTTGAGGAAATAGTATACATATGTCATATTTCCTGAAAAAAATAAAGGCAACTAAAGAGATTCTACATATATATATATAAATATATATATATATACATATCTTACGGTATCGATCATATGTAAAATGCCACTTGATTTCTTGGCAAATTTGCAGTAACACGCAGATCGTGTGCTACTAAAATTGCACTTAAAAAAAAGGATAGATTCAACTGCAACTTTGTGAAAAAGGAGTAAAAATTTCTTTCGCGAGCCTAAAATCCGTCGTCTATCTAGCTAAGGTGCTTGTTCGACGGACGTGGCAGAAGTCAGATATATTTCATGCTTTTCTTGTGTCATGTGTACGGCCTGATAATATTTAATCCGCATCGCGACTCCGCAGTATAACATATATATTTGTATATACGAGGGGATCGAACCGATTGCGTGAAAATCGCGCGAAATGTCCTTAATAAGATCTCTATGGAAATGTACATTCAGTCCGCGGCTCTTCAAGATATACGAAGTTACATGGATCGGTCATCTGGTTGACGTAAGTACACCTACGTAAAGTGTACACTTATTCATCGTTCTCGCAGAGTTCAAATATCGAGGTTATGCGTATATGTAAATTGAATTACAGAAATCCTACGAGCCGAAGAACTTGGAGCGATGGGGCGATCAAATTGTGATTTCCGTAAGTGTTTTGCAAACAAATTGTTTCAGACGGTCTTATTGAAAATTTACTGGAAAATCTTTTGGATATCAATGTGCGAATCTCTCTTCAAGTTTCACTCATAATTTAATCGTATTTCTGTATTAGTGTAGTCATATGAATTATATTAGATTCTAAGGAGCTTACAAATTTGTTTTTGCATTGTTACAGTTTGCAGCAATATGGTCCATAAGTCTTTACGCTGTACCTGTCATTGCTACGTTTTTGTATCATCGTAGTTATTCCTTGACAGACAACATCTTCTGTTTGAGTAAATTGGCAGCTAGTGTTGGTGCGCTTCTCATTGCTTCGTTAGCTGCACGTGGTTACTCCAGAGCAAACAACCCCTGTTACGTAAAATTTATGGAGACCTTAAATGAGGCTCAATTACAGTATAATGAAAGGACAAAACAAGAGCTTCATAAATATGACTTTGAATTTTGGGCATGGCCTGTAGATTTTGATATTTTGGAGTTAAAAGGGTTAGACACATATCTTTTTAATAAAAACTATGCAGGATGTTCTAGAATCTCAAACTTTTATTTCAATTTTTAATTTCATGAATTTTTAAATGAATATATATATATTGTGCAACAACTTTTGGTGCCATTTTTAGCTTCTACAAGCTTTTAGTAGTTTAAAATATTTTATTTAATTTTATTATGTTGTTTTAAATTGACTCTAAATTTTTTAAAATTAAAACTAAGAGATTTTAAGACAGCTTACATGTGATCTATATTATAATATATAATCTATATTTGTTTTAGTGATAAAATTACAGACAAATTGACACTAGAAAAGATTGCAAACGCTAGTGAACGTCTGAGACGTCAAAGCGGCAAAGATTTCTTATTTGCTATACCATGTAAATTACTTTCTTATGTAGTAGCACATACTTTTGCAATCAAGGTGATTTATCCTGGCAGTGTATCTTTTATCAGCTGGGCACTCGGTAAAATATTATTACTACTATATGTATCTTATATGCTAATTATATACTACTTATCATTATGTTAAAGGCTCTACATTAATGAAGGGAAGAATAGATTTAATAAAACAGGGTGGAGAAAGATTCAAGCTGATGACAATTGATAAAAATCAAATTGATACAGTGTTCGTCGATCGACGCAACAAGTAATGTAAACAATAATTTTATCAGTAACTATTGTATCTTACAAATCGTTTTCTAATGTGTAGTTTTTGCAGAAATGCTAATGGCGATATATTAGTCATATCTTGCGAAGGAAACTGTGGTTTCTATGAAACAGGTATTATATCCACTCCTTTAAATAAGGGTTACTCGGTATTAGGCTGGAATCATCCGGGTTTTGGTAACAGTACTGTAAGTATATACATAGACAAGTAAATTTTATGTATATTTTACAATCTGAAGGAAAGAATTGCTGTTACTCTGTAATAGTCATAAAAGTTTATTATTGTAACAATAAAATTTTGCAGTTATTATTATTCATATAAGACAGTAAATGTGCAAAGTTATGTATGGAATAATGGCAAGTCTTTTCCTTCGGGATTGATTATATGTCGTATAACAGTAACAGTAAATAATGACCACAAAGGGTGCACCATATCCAGACCAAGAAGAAAATGCTGTCGATTGTATAATGCGCTTTGCAATCGAGCGCCTAAAGTTTCCTGAGGAACGTATTATCCTGTATGGATGGAGCATCGGAGGATATACCGCTACCTGGACTGCTATGAATTATCCTAATATTCATAGCCTGGTAATATTATATTTAGTAATATTATTACATTTGATTTTACATGCATAATTCTATAAATTAATAAATTATATGCTGCAGGTTTTAGATGCTACATTTGATGATGTACTTCCATTAGCTATTAAAACAATGTCACCATCCCTAAAAGGTTTAGTCCGCAACGTAATCAGAAGTTACTTTAACTTGAATATAGCAGAACAATTAAACAGGTATATTCTTCAATAAATATTAGTATAAGTATTAGTAGATATATATATATATATATATATATATTTTTATGCATTGTATTTTTTTTTAATTGATAGATATAATGGAACTGTATTGTTGGTGAGAAGAACAGACGACGAGATTATTTGTATACCTGACAATAGTTTAGCTGGAAATCGCGGCAATATGTTACTGACAAAACTACTTCTTAGACGTTATCCACATTTATTTTCTGAAACCTCTGAATCTGGAACTGTTCTATCGAGGTTCTTATCTGCTGAAGCTTCTGATAGAGGTAAGAAATTGAATAATAGCAATGCTGTTTAATTGTAAGTGAATCTTGATTGAAAAAAATGTATTATTAAGTCGATTTTTATATTTTTGTAGCATCGATATTAGAATCGTCAAGAGTGGATGAAAAACGTTGTTTAGAGCTGATAGCAGCTGATATAAGAAAAAATGATGGGGTGATAAATTATCCATCTACTTTAGGACAAGACTGTAATATTAACACAAAATTGCAGTTGGTTCTTTTTCTTGTACGTATTATATATGCAAAGATAAATTTAAAATAAAAAAAAGAGCAATATTGTAATTTGAATCTATTATTTCGTGTTTTCTAGGCAACAATGTACATGAAAGACCAATCATCATCGCACTGCATCCCGTTAACTGTTGATCTTTTTCATCCAGGTTGGGACCCAGCATCCACAATCACTGTAAAGTAGATTTCTTGATATTATGTCCTAAGAGTCAGAAGCTTTTCAAGAGATTCTTATTCTTATAGTATCGTACAAACGAGCAAAACAATCCTCAGTGCATTTTATCAAGTTTTAATTAACACACATACATAAGCATTATTTATTTCATATTAATATATTCAATCTTTGGCAAATTGTTGAAAAAAATGTTACATATAGATATCTCATTTTTCATTCACAATAAAACATTCTTACTTAGTGATTACTTGCATTTTTCAAATTAATTATACAAAATGTTGAAGTTGCACATCACCAAATATTACTATGTATAAAAATTATTTTTATTACAATATAAATATTATAATTTTTATTACAATATAAATATTAAAATTTATAAATTGAATTTTGATATGTTTCTTCACACTATTTTAAAAATAGCTATACAATATTAAATATACAATAATGTATTACTTTATTATTAAATGGAGAATTATAGAACTCTGAAATTAATATACATCATGTAAGATATAATAAATGTATTTTTAATTTCAATCATAATTTTATTATATAACTATTATTTAATTATATATAACTATTTAATTTTTTAATAAAAAAGGTAGAACTATAATATAAAGATGGTAAAAGTTACAAGCCATATTTGTACTAAAAATTTAATATTAAAATTACAAAATGTTTTAAAATCATCAAGATTATTTACCTATAGATTTTGCAGGATTTCCATAATGACATCCTAATTCAAATTGATTACACAAAATATTCTATTTTCCATATAATGTATAAAAATAAATAACTATATATTATACTCAATAAAATAATTCCAGATAAATTTATGTAACTTGAATATTGTCCAGAATAGCTTTAAGATCAGCTTTAGAATCTTGAAATGGATCTATTACATTTGCACGACCAGTCTTCACTGGTCGTTCTAGAAATACTTTTAACATGCTTCTTGTTTGTGCTAGAAAATAGTCCCTCTGAGTAATTTTTTCCAAAGCTTTAAAACATCCTTCTAAATTCCAATCAATTTTACCACTGCTTTTATCTTCACCCTAAAAATAGATTGTTTAATTGTTATTTGTCTCCTTTATATGAATAATAATTTCTCATTATTTGTGCTTACTTTTATTAAGCCAAGATTTACTAGTAATCCATTATTCAAATTCAAGATTTGATTATTCTCTATTGCATGAGAAAATAGTTTTGCATACAAAGCATCTGATAAAAATTCTGCTTTTATTCTCACATTCATGTAACCACTACCACATAATGCTGATACTTTCATGGTTATCCGCAAAAATTCCTCTATAAATTTCTGTTCTGTAGTCACATTAGACTGATTCGCCAAGTTCTATAATTTATATGATTAACAATATAAATTTTACAATTAGAAATATGATGAAATATATACTGATATTAATACATATTAATACATACCGTTGCATGATCAACAAAAGCTTGTACATTATCACCTTGCAGTAGCAATAGTTTTTCACCTGTTGGCGATTTCAAAAATTCTGCTACTGTTATCGCTGTACTTTGTGCAACATTATCTTGCACACTCTTATCTTTGTCATTTGTCTCATCCTCATTATTATCGCTCTCACATTCTTCACTCGTTTTCTCTTCATCATTATCTTCCTCATCTTCATCCTCTTCTTCCTCATCTTCAGTATAATCTTCATCTAAAGAATTTAATGCGTCAATTCTTCCCAACTTCGTAAGAATTTGTCGAAGATTTTCGCGTCCTTCCGTTCCAAAACAATTTCCATCTAACTGTAAATTCGTCAAAAGAGTTTTATCATGTGTAGCTTTAGCAATAGCATTTCCAGCATCTGCACGTAGTTCATTATTACTTAAATCTAAATATTTAAGAGATGTATGATTGCCGTTAATCTCTAATGTCTCTGCTAAAACTAAAGCCCCTTTAGTTTTTAGTAAACAATCTCCGAGATTTAGTTCCTCGAGACCTCGGAAAATTGGTAAAACCTTGGCGAGCGCTCTAGCCCCTTTCAATCCAATCGTATTATCGTTCAAATTTAATACTCGCAAATTAGAATTGGCGGCTAATCCCTGAGCAATTGCCGCAATACCTATGTGGTATATGCCATTTTGTTGCATTACAACTTCCTCTAATGTCTCTAGTTTTTGAAAGACAGCTGCTAATGCCTGTGCACCCTCATTTTCTAATCGATTTCTACCAACAATGAAAACTTTCAATGCAAGTGGTCTACCTATAATAAAATACATTTCATGAATATATTGTGGAATGTTCATAATTATACATTTATATTCTGTAATATCTCATTACCTTCCTTGGAGCTATTCTCGAGACACTTTTCCAATGCCTTAGCTAACATTTTTCCACCCGATATACCAAGACCATTGTTGTTCAATCGTAATTCCTGAAGAGTATAGCATGGACTTGATGTTAGCAGATTTGCTAGCCCCTGAATACCAATTGGACCAAAAGCATTGTCACTCAAATCAAGTTCGGTAAGCCAGCTACCTGCTGTACACAATGCTGTTCCTAGATATTCCAATGCTTTTGGAATTTCTGTTTTCAAACGACCAGTGAACATATCCTTCCATAAAGCTACCTTTAATGGAGCTCCCTTCTCTTTTAATGCCTCGGCTATAGCCTCCGCAGCTGGTGTACCCAACGTATTTCCCTCTAAATCCAAGTAGTTCAAGCATGGACATGCCCTTATTGCTTCCACCACTTGAAGAGCTGTAATAATCCATTGATAAATTGCGTATTATTGATATTACAAAGAACCGACATATTAGAATTGACATTTGTAGAAAAGTAAAATTTGGCAAATAACAGTTGTAGTATTTTATAAGTTAAAGAAATTCTATTAAAAAAAAAAAATTTTTTTTATAATTGCTTACATAACCTCATGCTTTATATGTGTATAGATATACATGTGTGTATGTAAAAAAAATTCGGAAAATTATAGATATAAGAATAAATTCTATTATTTTACCATCATTTGCAGTATCTAATACGAGCGATTGACCGGCAAAGGAGACGCCAACCGACTTTCGGCTGACATCTTTCAGTTGTTCGCTAATTTCACCCAGACTGAACATATTGTCCGTGTATATATCACCAAGATTTTATAAAACGATCCTTATTAATAATCTCTCGATATATGCTGCCGAACAGTGACCAGTGACAAGTACTGATAATTTATCTACTTATTGATATCGCTTTCATATCATTACGCACCGCACGTCTCCGAAAGTAGTAAACAATGGTAACGTAAACTATGTGCGCGGGAAACCTCTACCAACATATCGGAAAGAAAATTTCTATCGTTAGAAAACTAGAAAGAAGCGCCAATTCAAGCAGCTGTTCGCTGTTTGTGATTGGTGTATACTCTGTTCTCTTGTATCATTTTGTGATTGGTGTATTAAATTTATTAGAGAATAGTTTTTTTTATATCATATTTTTATAAATTCATCTTTTTTGAATTATCTAATAGATATATAAATATATATTTAAATATTGTAAAACACTATATATATATATATATATATACATTAATAATATTACAGAGATAATTTTCAAAAATTTTGTTTCTTATACATATTAAAAAAAAGATAGAATGTGCGATATATATAAATTTCCAATTCATTGCAATAAAATAATTTGTAATAAAACATTAATTTAATTAGTTTCAGACTTTCATAAGATCTTTTAATTTTTTCGCACGTTTATTTATATACAAAATCAAAAAACTATTTTGATATTCCCAGCAAAAAAAACAGCTGTTGATTATAATAACTGATATGAATTTAATATATGATAGAGAATCCAAAACATTCGATTGAGAATTACTTGAATTTTCTTCTTTAAAACAAAATCCACATATTTATTGTTAATATATGTAGAATATCAATGATGAACAATAAACATATAGAATCAAATTCACACGCTTTTTCAGGTGCTAATAAAAGTGTTTTATTACACTGAATGTTATTTTTCATGATCTGTGGCCACAGCATATTGGTTTTCTTTTTTATGTTTGCTTTGATTATACTAATATATATTATAAATAGGTTTTTTTCTGTGATTTGATTTTTTTAGATCTAGGTAATGTGTTTAGAAATACTTCTCTTTGTTATCTCTTTAGTTTGGTTCTCTCTATTTTGTCTAATTTAGATAAAAGTTTGTTGTAAAATCAAAATTTATAATGAACATATACAATTTTCTCTCTTGATATGAATTCTCTATGATTTTTTTTCATTTTATTCAGAAATGCTATATATGTTGCACACATTTTTTAATAAATTAAGAGAATAGAAAACAGTTCTATTTGTTTCAAGTTCTATTTGTTAGCATATCAAAACAGATAAAGAGAGAGAACAATATGTTAATATTAGCACAAGTCGAAGTTTTCTTTTAGAGGATTTCAAGCAAATATGAAAAAATTATTTAACTATTTTTAAAGTGGCCGTTTTATACTCCTTCACAATATATAGTCAACATTTAATACAAAAATTACCTATTATATCTACATTTAAATGTAAATATAATAAATTTATATAGTAAATTAAACTATTAATAGCGACATTCCAAATGCGTCCGAATGTAGATTACTGTAAATTCTACTATATTAAAAATTACTTAAAAACTAAATTTTCTCTTAAATGTACATAAATAATCTTTTTATTGATTAACTATGATTTTTTGCTGTGTCTCAAGCTAATTGTCCATGTTTAATGCTTTTTTTCGAGCTTAAGCATTGAAAGTATTCAAATATTCAATTTTACATCAAACAAGCTACTCTTAAGTTTGTATAAAAACTTAAATGTTTTAATATATTTCTTCTGTATCTTAAATGAAGAATAGAGAGTGACTTCTCACAATATTTTATGTGATGTAACTTTGATGTGTGAAAAAGTGCCAAAGTTCATTATGCATGACAGAAGCAGATTGACTGAATACTCTCGACAGTTTTCAAACATGTCTAAAGTATATAGAGGTTAGAAGCCTTCCTGATACTGCTTTGAATCTAGTTTTGCCTGAATCATTTCTAATTGCCGTTTTGCTTCACACTGAGGGAAATTTTGTAGATCATAATATTGCGGTGCTATCATGAGCAACCAATCAGCTGTAAAAAAACAAAAATTTAATAAGAAAAATTATCTTAAGTCAATCAAGTAATAAAACGTAAATATGCATTTGGTATAACAATTATATAATAAGAAAACTTACGTTTAATGTCAGTAACAGTTCTGATATAATTTTTAGTAGTAAGCACGAATTCATTATAGATAACCCACTCTGGTTTGTGATCCAGACAACTGCTTGGATGAAGCTGCACTACTTGATTATCCTTAATAGTTAGATAATGTCCTGTTCTCTCTAAATGTGCTACCTGTTCATATAATAAAAATAAAATATAAAATAGAGTATAAGATAAAGAGAAATTAATACACAATCTAATATTAAATTATGATTGTATATATTTGTTTTAAATTGTTACCATATTAAATTACCTGCATGAAAAACCCATTAACAAGAGCTTTCCTGATATTAATGTAATAATCTTTTGAGTTGAAGTCGGTTGAAGTGCGTTTTAATACAAATCTGTCCATTATTCTGCTCAATTGTTGTCTTACATTATCTCCGCTCTTTAATGATCGATAATTGACGTAATTATCGTAACACCATTGGACATCATCCATATCTGTACACAAAAATATGTAGAAATATTATAAAATACTGACATATCTCATAAAATAATAACAAATATACTCACGTTGTTTGAAGGAATGATATACATTAAGTAGCGTCAAATGATCACCATCAATATGTGCAAATTTCATTTTTGCATCATCCGCAGCCTTCTTTGATTCGTTTGGTCTCACAAAACACTGTGGGACTAATACCACGTCAATCATCAATATACTACCATGTTATCTTACCACGATTCGAACTCTATTATACTTTACTTTTTTAAAGTTCTCATATATTTTACATATAATTTTTATAACAAGATTGAGAATGATTAAAACTATATTTCAATTTTTAAAATAGAATATTAAGATAAAAATATTAACATAGCAAAAAATAAATATTATTAGACTAATTAAATGGTTATACGGATATTATCGCTTACAGCAAACCTCGATACGTTACCTGAGAGCATAGCAGTAATGCTGAGTATTTCATTGCTGCAATTATGATTGCAAGAAGCTATAAGCATTTTTGCCAATTGAGGATCCAATGGAAATTCCGCCATCACTGCGCCGAGATCTGTCAAATTTCCATCATCATCAAGAGCAGCCAAATAATTTAGAAGTTCCAAAGCTCTCATGAGGGTTTCAGGTGCAGGTGGATCCATAAAATCAAAATGTACCTGTAAAATCATATATGATAAAATTAGTAATATATAAAGAATATAAAATTGTTTTCCTTAATCAAAATAATGAATCTACCATACATACAATACTTAATAATAATACATACCATACATACAATATTTAATAATACAATACTATTAATAAAACATACCAGATCATCGATACCAAGTTTCTTCAATTGCAATACAACACTCCCAAGATTGGAACGTAAAATCTCAGGATAGGTATTATCCTGCATTTCATTTTTGTATGCTTTTTCTGTGTACAATCTGAAACATTTTCCAGGCCTTGTTCTTCCAGCACGACCGGCTCGTTGTTGTGCTGAAGCTTTACTAATAGGCGATACTAAAAGAGACTCGACACGAATTCTGGGATTGTATACCTATCAACAAAAAATATTTTGATATTAATAATAAACTTATAATAATATAATAAAATTCTCAATGAAAAAATAAAAATATATTTACTTTTTGTTTGGCAAAACCAGGATCTATCACAAAAACAACCCCATCGATAGTCAACGATGTTTCTGCAATATTAGTCGAGACTACGACTTTACGACCTATAGCACCATTAGGTTTCGTAGGCGGAGCAGGTTCGAATATTCTCTGTTGAAGATTCGGTGGTAGCGTCGAATATAGTGGTATACACTTTAATTCACCGACTTCGGGTCCCAAGTTGTCCATTTCTCTTTTAATTCTCTTGCAAGCTTCCTCAATTTCCTCTTGACCAGTTAAAAACAATAAAAGATCCCCAGCAATTTCTTCACACATTTGAATTTGAATGACAGTTCTAATTGCAGCTTCCAAATAATCCCTTTCTGGCTCGGGTGTATAAAATATCTCAACTGGATGTGTTCTACCAGGTACATTCATAAGTGGTGCATTGTCAAAATATTGTTGAAACTTTCCAGCGTCCAAAGTGGCACTCATAATCACAAGTTTCAAATCTGGTCTTTGCTTGATCACTTCTTTCAAAACACCCATAAGTAAGTCGGTAGCTAATGTTCTTTCATGAGCTTCATCGAGTAGTATCACTTGGTATGCATCCAGCATAGGATCAGACATGCCTTCACGAAGTAACATACCATCAGTCATGTATTTTAGCACAGTCCTTGGTGAACTACAATCTTCAAAACGGATACTGTATCCTACTTCTTGGCCTGTTTATAAATATATATATTTTAATTTCTTATTGCACTGTATTGTTTCTGATATAATATTATACAATTCTTATCAAAGATCAAATAAACTTGAAAGAAAAATATCAAAATTATTTAGCACCTTTGTAAACTTTTTAATGTATATATTGTAAATATAACAAAATAAAAAGTAAAAACATTTATTTTTTAATTTTTAATATAATACCTAATTATATATATATAAAATTATATATGGACACATATTACCTAAGGCAACGTCCATTTCTTCTGAAACTCTTTGAGCTACACTCATAGCTGCTACTCTCCTTGGCGATGTACAGGCAACTCCTTTGTTTCCGATACTTCTTGAATACTCCACACACCATTGTGGTATCTGTGTAGTTTTACCAGAACCTGTCTCTCCGACAAGAACAATACATTGATGCTGAGATAATAATCTCACAAAATCCGCACGATATTCGAATACAGGCAGAGTTATCCTTTTCTTGTAAAGCTCATAGTATCTCGGTGTGTATGGCAGCATAGTGTATGGATTGAACTGCACTTGACTCTTTGTCGCTGTGGATGCTGTGGTTGTCGCATTGTTGGATGTTGAGCTATCCCTGTAAAATGATTATATTGACATTTTTCTAAACACATGAATGATCATCTGCATTTTTTCCCAATAAACGCATCGAAAAAATATTGCTTTTGTTTTGCGATATAAAGGTGTACGAAGTTAATGACAGAATTCTGATAAAGCGTACAAAATTCTTGGTACGCACTGATCGACGAGGTGATTAAAGCTGTGTCTCTTTTGTCTTTTACAATTGCAAAATCACGAAGCGAGACACAAAATTAAGACCCATTAAGGAGCAAGGAGTCCTTGTCGCCGAATGATCAGAAAGATCTCGACTCGCTATAATTTATAAACAATATCTACGCGTGTGTAAACACATAAATGGTACTGATATAAATTGACGTGAATGTTGCACAGCCCAATAATGCCGCGAATAATTGCACATGGCAAATGGGGACTGTCGACGGATCCGTCGTCGCGTCGGTCGAAATAAGGAAAAACACGCTGGCGCACTTACGTAGCTTTTCGTTTGACATAAGGGTCCACGACTTCGATCCTACGCTTCGACATAGCGTTCTCGTCACCTCAAACCTAGTCGAGCAGAAGCTAAAACTGTTTACGAAATTTCAGGCAAGGCGTCAGTCAAAATGGCAAGCAAGCGCCAGCAGCGGTTCCGAAGCTTTCTTGTCTTTGTGGTAATGGTAGGTGACAGCAGATGGCGATGCGATCAGCGATTTTTTTTGGGCGCGCATACAAAAGTAAAAAGAAAGCAATTTCTAAAAAAATTAATTTAATAAATCATGTCTATTATAAATAAATTTTATAAATAAATTAGATAAATGCTGTTCCCTAAATAAACATCAAGTAAATTTATTATGTACATAAATAGCTTTTAACAATAACAAAAATTTAAAAATTCAAAATAGATCTAATTAATTTTTCAAAATTTAAAGATTCAATTAAACTTTTAACAAGATAAAATCAACTTCTTAGATAAAATAATTTTATATATGTGCATCATGTATATCTGGAAAAAACAATTTTTATAAAAGAATAGGTTGTATATGTGTAATTGTTTATTAAGCATAATATGAAGATATAAAACCAATATATATTCACACAGATTCTTGTTATACAAGTACATTTTTTACAATATACATTGCTTCATTGTCACATCCAAAAGTAACGTTGACCTGTTAATATCAATACTGTTTATCGGTTTGTGCATAGCAGCACATAATGATGTCACATTAACTTTTCCATTCGCACTAATTGTATTTAACCAATGTGTATCTGCAGTATCTGAGTCATATCACAAAAAACAGAATGTTGAAATCAGCTTTTTTATGTGTAACATTAATAATTAATTACAACTCACCAAGTTTTAGTTTTGAACTTTGTGCATTGTTCCAATGCCACAATTCTCCACTGATAGAACAAGTGAAAAGATTGTCAGGTCTGTCTTGATGAAAAGTATTTCACTAACAGCTTTGGCATGTGCATTGAGTTGCGACATTGGATAAGTATTTTGCCTTAAATCCCATACAGTTAAACTGCCATCATCTCCACCAGCGACTACAATATGCCTTTGAGTAGGATGATGCGTAATACTTGTAGCTGCTGTCTATAAAAACGTTTTCATATTTAAAATATTACTTTAAGCTATTAAAGAGACTTGTACATTAAAAAAGTTATTAAAAATAATATAAAATTTTTCTAACTTACTTTAACTTGATCAGAAAGCATAAAAGTGGATGCAGGTATATCTCGATCATTTCTTAAATCCCAAACTTTCATGTGGCCTCTTGAATTTCCCGTAAGTACTTCATTGTGTTTTAAAAAGTTAACGCAATATATGGAACAACTATCAGCACTTTCTGATAAAAGATAATGTTTTGCTTTTTAATATATAATAATTGGATTATGATTATACTATATTAGCAGATATTTTTGAACATGTATCATTTACCAATAATTCTAACTGGCTTTTTTTCTATAGATGTAAGAAGATTAAGCTTTCCATCTTCTCCCACAGAAGCTATGTCCTGTTCAAAAGTAGATAATGCAGTACAAGAGGCATAATCTGATGTTCTGTAAAAATAATTAAAAACATAATATTTATTTAATAATATTTTAGCTTGAACAAAACCACTTTTAAATTTTTCACTTACTTAAAATTATGTATAAACTCCCATGCCATGTGCTCCTTAAATTCAGTACAAGTATCTTCGTACACTTGCAGTAATCTTACAGAACCTAAAGATGAAGAAGCCACAAAGAAATCGTTGCTGATAAACTAAAAAATGTATTAGAACATTTTATTAGAATTTTTAATGCACAAGTTAAATTATTATCTATATCTTAAAAAAATGATATATCACCTTCAATTCAGTAACATCTCCAAGGAATGAGTATGATGACAAGACTACAGTGATGGTTCTTCATCATAATTGTCCTAAATGTCCAATACGTTATTTTATTTACCTATAAAATAAAATTGACAAACAAAATTATTTGAGCTTACTGAATAAAATAACTTGATTTATCTAATTACTGAATAAAACTAAATGAGGATAAAAGTTTAATTTAGAGGTTAAGTATATCATATATTGGCTTACAGGATTATCCCAGCTGCCAGTTAAGAAATTCTTTGCTTCTGTAAAATCTCTATGTTGCCATCTTATTTTGGAAATTTTCTCTGATACGAATGTTCCTTGTACGTTCTCGCCCATTTCTGGATAAAATCAGAGTAAAACAAGAGTCAAGTAGCTCACACTTGAATCAGCTGACTGAATTGCCCGCCAAAACATTACCATTGCGCATGCGCATGAATATTTCTAATTTAGATGAGTTTACGCAGTCATTCACAGTTGGTTCTCATATTTCAGATCGTCTTAAGGCCTCGTTCAAGCAATTCTTAGAATACATAGATTGTTCTAAGAAGCAATCAAATGGCCGCATAGCGTCTTTGATTGGTTGACTGGTTAAACGAGGTTTTAAGACGATCTTAATTATAAGAACGGACTATGAATACCGCCCACAGAGTCGTAAGTTATAGAATTTGACTAATCACAGTCTTCTTCTTCTTCTCTTTATGGCTGGTTGGGCTTCAGCTTTAGAGCATGCCCATACGCCATTAACTACCGACTAATCACAGTCGATTATTCTCCTGAACTTCAACTGTGATTGATCAATTTTGACGATTTACGACTTTACAACCCTCTTATAGACCTTGCATTATGTCACAAAAGTCTTAAATAAGAACGTACTATTGATCGACCAATCAATATTGACTTCTAATTGGTCCAATCAACGTTTTGAAATTTTCGTAGCGTCAAACGAAACGTACCCATTATTTAGGAAATTGCATTACTCCTACATACTCTCAGCTGCTGTACATGAAACTTGTTAATTGTAAAAAACAGCAAAGCATAATGTCAAGTATATATATTTTGACTATATAATAAAATGATAATTAATATGTAATTCTGTTGAATACATATCGTGAAAATAAAAGCAACATATATATATATATATATATATATATATATTATGTATATATATATATAATATATATAAATATATTATATCAATATATTATAGAATTTAATACTGAGTATTAGAGATAACGAAGTAAAAGTAACCCAAATTCGCGTATTATATATATATATAATTAAAGAATGTTAATTAAAAAGATATTGCATTCCTTACACACATATATGCATATATAGCGCATGCACATATACACACATACACATACATATACACACACACACATACATATATATACACACACGCACACACACACATGTACACTTATTTTTATTTTTGATATTTAATATTTTTATATATGCAACAATGATTTTTATTTTTTCATCTATTATATCAAATATTATATTCTTTTTCTATAATTTTTATTAAATTCAACATTTATATAAAATTAATATAGAAAATATTTTTGCATATAAAATATTTATTCAACTTACTTATAATAATATTAATATTATATATAAAATAAATATTTTTATTTAATATTAAAGTGTGGTCTATATATGTATAATAATATCTATATAATATATATATATATATATCTATATATCTATATAATATTGAGACATTATATATAAACATATAAAACAATATATTTTATTATTATATTGAGAAAATTTATGCTTTTATTATTTGAAAAATATACAATTTATATATAAATCTCGTTTAATTTTTATTAAAACATATATGTTTTTATTAATGATTTATTAATTTTATATTTCTACATTGCGCTTCCATTGGACAAGGAAAGGACAAGAAAAAGACGATAAAATCTATTTTTGAGAGTGAGTTGAAGCCATCATCGTTCGGAGCATTCAAGCGGATTTTAATTATTCGATCACACGAAGACGAACTCACAACGTGTGCTGTTTACGCGCGCGCGACAAGTATGTCGAAATTATACATTACATTATATCATTATTGTTATTTTACCTCAGTACGTTCTATTATCATGCAGTGGTTTAAGCGAATCTTTGCGAAAAATACGTAAGTGTGAAATATATTATTTATATATTTTACAATATATATTTTGCATCATTTCTAGTTAAACTTGACATGATCAAAACGATTAAATTTTTTTTTTATATATTGCTATCGACAAAACTATTTATAAATAAAATTGAAAAATAAATAATAAAATTTAAATATTGGCACATAATTAAATTTTCAATTTACAAGTTAAATTAAAGTTGATACCAATAATAGAATTACAAAAATATTACAGGCATATTTATTATAAAGTTTTAGTTCTTATATTTATCTTTGCATGAATGATTTGAATACAGATTTTATTATGAAAAGAGTGTATGGTATATATATATATATATATATATATATATATTCATAATTATACAATAATATACATATCTTTTATATTAAATAATAAAATTTTGTTTGATTTATCAAGAGAATTTAAAATAAAAGTGGCTAAAAATAGAAGAAAATATATATTAAATTGAAAAAATAATAGCAATGAAATATTGTATTAATATATTTTCACAATTGCAATCTCTAATTTTAAAATACAGAAAAATTTATAATTAAAAATCAATTTCTATATATATATAAATAACTTCTTTTTCTTACAAATTAATTTTTATAAAGTTATTTTGTGCATTGCTCGTTATTTAGTAAATATAGATCTATCTGAGATGCATCTTACTGTAATTTTTAGCCGCGATTGAGGCCAATGTCACCAACGACGATGTCACGGAAACGCAGCATACCATTTGTAAGATTGCAACGGAGGATGTGGTAGCAAACGCACGTGCTACTGTTACAACAGTACTTACTGGAGCTTGTAAAGCAAGTGAGCAAAATCAAAATTAATATTAAATATAATTTTATATTATTAGTATCTAGACGTATTTACTTCATGCATTGCATTAAAATTTTAAGATTTTCTAAATTGATTTTCATATATATGATATTGGATAAAATGATAAAATAATAATTGCACACGTAAAAATCTTTAATTAAATTTTTGGTATCTATAATAAAAATATCTCAATTTTATAAATTTAAATAGAGACAATCATTTTCGATTCAATGCCAATTAAATTTTTATTCCAAGATATATATATATATATATATATATATATATATATATATATATATATAGATAATTTTGCTTTAGTACATAAAAATTAATTGTAATTTTATAACATGTATACTTCCAGAGGCGATGGATGAAAAGTTTGCAAGATTAGAAAAATTAATCAAAGAATTCGCGGATATTAAATGGTTACTGTACAACATTTTGGAGCAACAACCGGATTATCTAAAAACTGTACAAAACGCTAATCTTTATGATGGAATATCTGATGATTATTTGTCGCCAAGGCAAGATGAGATCAATAAATTCAACAATACTGTACAAAATTTATCTACATCAAATGGTTAGTGCAAGCATCATGAATTAATTCTAGAGTATACATTTCAAAGTAAAAAGTTATTATATGTATAAATTATATATAAATTTTTGCAAATTTCTGATAACAACAAAATAAACGTGTTTATTTATTAGTTCATAATAGCAGTAGTTAACACGTTTATTTATTAGTTCATAATAGCAGTAGTCTAAAGTTAACTTTATGCTCTCAGCTAAACAGAGAGTATTTTAGTTC